CCCCCCCCAGTTATCATCCAAATTTCTTGTGGAGACACAAGAAAATGGAATGTGCAGTTGACTAATATTTTATTTAATTTTCTTTTCTTTTTTTAAAATGAACACTGACCTTGGGCAAGTGTATTTGAGGACATCCGATAACAATAAATACAGTTATAAACCTGTGATCTATCCCACTTGGGCTTAGCTTAGCTGTTCTTTATATTTTAAATATAAAATAGTTCAAAATATACATCAACTTACTGTGCTAATTCCTGTATGGACCAGAGTGGAAACACTAGATACTTCCAAAGAGTATAGTATTTCCATCGTAGGTAATGAGTAGACCATGAGGTTTTTCATCTGAAAAAGAAAAATAACAGAGTGATTAATTTAGTGGGTCAACATAAACCTCGGAGCGCAAGCCCACACTTCACAATTGAGGGTATAGACTACCCTCATGGAACAGAGCTGCATGCAAAAACTAATTTTGTAAGTCTGTTTCTGTATTACTTAAATGTTACATAAAAAAATTATGTTCTATCCCACCTTTCCAATCTGCTGAATGAAAATCCATGTACTTCAAATCCATTCCACAATTGGTATTTAAGGAGAATGTAATTCCTCAGTGCCAGAACTGTAAGAGTCACTTTAATAAACATTCTCTTGTGGACAGTTTTATCCCAAGAGTGCTCCGATTAAAACGTGGGGCTGAGATTTATATCCGTAGTTTTTAAACGGGTGAAAAAAGAACTCTTGGGGGGTTATTTCTGATTTGTCAGGTGTTTGTGTGAACTTAGAGCTAATATGCTGTGAGCACTACCTACCAACTATTTTTGTAGTAATGCTATTTCCAACACATAATATGGAAACACAAACGTGAGACGAATTTTCCAATACCTTCTTGTGAGTCGTAGTTGTCAGGGCTACTAACTTGAGATTTGTGATCCCCTGCCTAAAAGAGAAAAGGTATAAGTGAATCAAATGAGATTTGCCACTTGTAAGCTAAGTCAAAGGGATGTTCTTGCATAAAAGTTAAAATGGACACACACAGATGACATTGAACTTGATTTCTGCACAATTATGGTTCAGACTGACACTCTTTCTTTTTCTGGAGTGATTTTTAATCTGGGTGCATAAATCAGCAAGATGTAAACTTCACTTATTTTGGACTCACACTGTAACACAATCACTTGAAGGTTCTTATTGCCTGTTCTCAATAAATCTGTCCAAGAATGGTCTTTATCCTGTCAGTCTGCTCACAGTGTAATTAGAATGCACCATGTAATGAATGATCAGATCAGATCAGATTGGAACCAGGTAGGAAACCTATTTGTAACAGAAGGGGGAGCACCACTAGCATCACAACGCACCACGTGACTGAAGAGGGCGAATCTGCTTCTGTGGTGAGGAGGAAGTCTTCCACGTGAAGAGAGGGCCAGTTCCACACGGGAGTCAGAGTGTAAATATCCCACAAGCTCAGCACGCTCTGCAAAAGAGACACTTCACTGGCACGTTTTCACAAGGGCTAAAAATTTCCATTTCAGGGAGTGTCCTTTGATATGTGTTTATACTGAAATAAAGCATAGTATCCAAGACAGTAATTCATCCACCCTGGCTAAGGTCTGTGCCTTTGTAAGTCTGACATTTCTGGTGTAAAACACAATACCAAGGGAAATCATCAAAGGAGAAATATCGAAAACATACATCAGTATCAAGAACAAAAAGTAGGTTGTCTATCAGCTGGAATTTCTTGGCACCTACAAAAGAGAAAGCAAGGTGTGTAAGGATTATTATATCTCTGTGCTACATGGAGCCACATTTAAATAGTAAACTAACATTTACGGACAAAAAGTTCCCCTTTGTACTTATCCCTGTTTCTGTATTTTTTTGATGACCACTAAAATGAAAAACCACCCCCCAAAAAAGAGTAACAAAGGCAACATATCAAGAACAGTCATGTACGTGGAAAATTATCAATTTAATCTGGCTCGTTTCAATGAGTGGTCTGGTTAAACGGCTCATATGTGCTAGACTTAGTAGAGTGACATGAATATTAGAACGCACTAATAATTACCAAAAGTAGTTTCGTTAACTTATTTACCTCTGATAATCTCTGCATCGACAACATTCTTAACTGTCATTTCCTTCTTGAGAGGGTCTGGTTCCCATTTGGAGAAGGCACAATTACCAGTTCCCTACAGGAGTGACAACAGTCCTTCAGCTGCAGATTTGGCTCTTAGATCTGAACTCTCCTCACGGTGGAGACGCCTGCCTAAGTTGTACACATTACTAATTTCAAAATATGCATTTAGATGCTCAAGCCCAACTCGCGTTCATCTCTCAGTTCCTCTCTTCATTTGTTTTTAACAGGACAGAATGAAAGGGACAGTGAAGTGTTGTTATTTGTTGTGACCATGTGAATATTTAATAAGGAATAGGTATATTCAGGCAATTCACTCTAAAGACATAGGGTAAACTTTAACATATAAACTTGGCAAGTAAAAATGTTGTAAATGCTGTAATTATACTGAATCTTTGCCTACTCCTCGAATAGAGTATTAGAGGTTTTATTTGTTAAGTTTTTGCCTACACTCATAGTCAAAAGAAATGATAAATTTCAGGTAGATATTTATGAAAATAAAGATGTAAAATTTTTCCAACATAGTAACTTAGGCTTACTAACTAATTTTGTGAACTTAATTTTACAATTCCTATTTCTGTTACACATTACAAATTAATCTGTAATTTAACCAAAACTGTAGGTTTTAATGAAGAAACATTTCGGAAACAAAAAAACCAAAGTTTTATAGAAAGAATTATTACCCCAATGATCATAGGGATTTTGCTTGCCAAATCTCCAGCCACAAGATTCAGACAACCATGGCTATGATAATTTTCAGTAGAAATGAAGCTGGACTTGATTTGTCCTTGTAACTGCAAAATTTAAATAATAAGAATGTTATATATACACACCATAGGCCAAATTCCTTGGAAAGACTGATAAAAATCAGTGTAAACCAAGTATTTATTTTTAAAGAATGGAAATGTTATTAAAATGTTACATCATGCTAAATTCCCAAAAGGTCAGCCAGTAGACAACTACATCCAGAGATTTATCTCCTAAATTTTCATTAAATCTAAGTTTTAACAAGACAATGTAATTTTGTTTTCTTACCTTTTTAGCTTTATTGAAGTCTACATTTTCAATCGCTGTATGAAAAAGAGAAAGCAGGCTAAACTCAGTGTTAACCTATAAAACACATAAAAGTTGCCCCTTTTGTGTCAAGGTAAAAATTATACACAATCTAGTGAGAAGAACATTGGGTAGAAATTAATAGGACAGTGGTGACTTTCAGTGTTGCCCTTGATATGAACTGTGACATGCTGCCCTTAGGGCACCCAAAGGGCTGTCCCTATGGTGCCTCTCCACACCTTCCCTACAAAGAGGGTCTTCTATTAAAATAGACTCCAAATGTCCTGCTTGAGCGCTGAAGTCCTACCTGTGAAGTCATCACTTTACACTCCATTTTGGAAAAGCTACTTCACTTGTCTGCTCTTTCACTAAACTGGGGAGCTATGCATCTTAAATCTCGTTGTATCCCCTGGACCTCGCACGTTCTTGGCATATAAATTAAAAAAAATATATTTGTTGAATACATGCCCCAAACCAATTCCTCAATCTCTTCTAGCTCAGAGGGAAGGATGGTCCGTACCACTCACTGAGCACAAAGTTACTGTTAAGTTACTTTGTTAACAATATTGTTAACACTTCTGTAGTCATTTCTGTTTCTGGGTTCAGTCATTCCATCAAAAAGCATTTATCACTCCCTCTTGCATCTTGGCCACCAACATGCCATCCAGACTGAGGGAGACCTGGGAACTTTGGGGCTACGTGAGCCATGGACACAGCCACATTGGCAGGCACAGGAAGCACCCTGGAGGCCAAGGTAATGCCAGTGCCTTACATCATCCCAGGACTGACTTTGACAAATATCACCCAGATTCCTTTGGGAAAGTTGGCATGAGGCACAACCACTTAGAGAGGACCCAGAGCTCCTGCCCACTATCAACCTCGATAAACTCTGGACCTTGGTCAGTGAGCAGACACAGGTAGATGCTGCCAAAAACAAGACAGGAGCTGCTCCTATCATTGATGTGGTGCAATCAGGGCTACTACAGAGTTTGGGGAAGGGAAGGCTCCCAAAGCAGCCTGTCATGGTGAAGGCCAAGTTCTGAAGATAAAGGGGGGTGAGGGGAGGTTGTGTCCTGGTAGCTTGAAGCCACATTAGATGCTCACAAGTAATAATTAAAAAAAAAAAAAAAAAAAAAGCACTTATCACTATGCTGGTGTATGTCTTATCTCTCTAAGCTGTAAACTCCCTGAAGGCTATAAACAGATTACACTTCTTCAGATTCTGTTGCAGCCTGAACATTGGAGAATAAATATATTAGAAATGCCTAAAATGTATACACAGTATCGTAGAGTGTAATGAAACTAAAGTAAGTGTCTTAAAGAGGATATTTAAAAATTTACCTGGAGCAGTAATAAGAAATATTGCTGTGACTCAATAATAAGAAAATAATACATTACTTACCTTGTTGAATTTTTACAAGCTGAATGTTTGTAATACAAAAAAATCCATTGTTTGTAAGAAGCAGCATATAATAGGTACCTATTAAAATAAAATTAAGCCAGTTTCTCTAAAAGGCATATAAGTATAAAATTTAAGCCAGTATCTGAACCTAGTTTAAAAATATGACAATTTCCTCATTTAAATTCTAATCATCAAATAATATAGGAATGATACAGGTAAAACTTATTTACAAAGCATTGTAAAAACGATGTTAACTCCTGTGAAACATTTATAAACCAAACTTCATTTCCCAGAAAAACAAAACAAAACAAAACAAAAAAGCCCTCAGATATATCAAAATAAGTTAAGGTTCCAGTTAACATTTGTTGAAATGGAAATGTGATGAATATGTTGGAACCCACCGCCCCCCAAAACAAACATTTTAAAAGAATATACTGTCTCCTCGGTAATCTATGGAACTCTCAAAACTATAAAAATTAGTTTAGAATACTATACTAAGGAAAAGGACATTTAAGACTCTGAAAAGAGCTAAAATAAAAACTTGTTTCTGCCCAGCCGGGCGTGGCTCAGCGGTTGAGCGTGGACCTAGGATCCAGGCAATGGGGGTTCCATTCCTGGTCAGGGCACATGCCCAGGTTGCGGGCTCGATCCCCAGCAGGGGGCTTGCAGGAGGCAGCTGATCAATGACTCTCATCATAGATGTTTCTCTCTCTCTCTCTCTCTCCCACCCTCCTTTCTTATCTCTGAAATCAATAAAGATATATTTAAAAAAAAACAAAAACTCGTCTCTTATAATAACATTGATTGCACTGCTAGAAAATTTACACTGTGTAGGTAGCACAATAATGAACTTATAGAATTCATTTACTATAAAAATGATATTTTGATTGGGTAGCAGTCAGAAGATATAAAAGAAAAAAAGAAAAGAAAAAACTTACCTTCACTTGAGCCATCTTTCTCAATAACCAGAGTTCGGTAAGTACACTGATTTTCACCATTAGCTTTCTGAACAAAAGCCTAATTGCAAATTAATTTCAAGTAAGATTAAACCCAGAAAAATATAATCAAGGATTATGTTCTTTAAAATCGCAGAGCTATCGATTATCATTAGCAATAGATCTGCCCACGTTCCAAACATTTTAGTTTTAAGATGGAAAACTATTTTGAACAAGCCTACTAATAAGAATATCCGCAAAGCTTAATTTTACAACTTGGCATTTAGTCTGTATGTTTCTAAGGCATGAATTTTACGTTTAACGTAAAGGAACACTATTCTTTTAAACAAATTAAGTAATGGTCCACTCGAGTTTTAGTTGCGCAACAGATTGTTTAGAACTTAGGTGATGAAACCAAAAAACATGAAAGGGTCTTACGTTCGTGAGCAGTGTCTGCTTTGACGTTACGTGGATAAAATGCAAGTTGCCGCTCCTCTCCCCAACCAAAAGGAACTTTCCTTCTTGACAAAGGCCAACTACATCCACTTCTGAGTCTGAAAATTTCAAAGTTACAGGCTTCCTTCGAAAATGTTTATTTTCAATACGAAAAGTTGTAAACTTTGTCATTAAAAGTCAACTAGGCAAGCTTCTTTTAAGTATTATTATTATTTTTTAAAGTGGTGATTAAAATAAAAAAGAATGCTATTGACTCTTCATCAGTCAACAGATATTTACTGGGCGCTTCCCCATGAAGCACTGTTTTAGGCCTTCTGCACATAGCTGAGAATGTGAGGTTCACTTTCACGGAGCTGGAACTTCAAGGCAGGTATCGGATGATAAACTGAGCATAAGAAACCCATTCTGTGACATGTAAGAAGGTGATAAATTCTCTGGAAAAAAGAAAACGCAGAGCAGGGAGAGAGAGCGCAGAAGAGCCGTGCACGCCGCGGTATTGTTTAGAGTGCTCCCAGATTGCCCCCTTTGATAAGGTGAGACATGAACAGAGACGTGAAGGTGAACTTGCTGTTCGTGTAAGAGGCCGGGGCAGTGAAATGCAAGCTGAGAGGGGAAGGGGGAAGGATAGAAGCAGTAGCATGGAAATGGCTTAAGAACGGAAATTATTCAGTAGCAGTACCTTCATACAAATGTATCCTGCGTTCACACAGCCCACTATTTCATTGGTGAAACTGTGGATTCTGGAGACCCATCAGGGTAGATATGCTAAGATCCCACGAAATAGGAGCGTCTTGCTCCACAGTGTGCGCAAGGTTTCGTTGGAGTGCCCCCCCCCCGTAAAAATCAATGGAAAAAATATCCATAGGGAAGGATTAAAAAAGATAGCATTCTCACACGCAATCCTCCTTTTCAGTCATCTCAGTTGTTACACAAACACTTCAACAACCATCTTCCTCTCAAAATTTACTCTTAAGTCCACACCTGCATATACTTGAAGCTCTTTAACTCAATGAGGAATTTGTAACTACTGAAAAAGCTTCTTATGGTGCTATACATTCTAAACGTATTCAAATATCTGTTGGTGATATTGAAATTATGTACAAGATTTAGATACTTGAACACACTAGGCTCAACTGGTATTCTAACACAAAAGTCACGCAAGTGAAGTAAACTATTGCTTTACCTTATGTTTCCCCTCAACCTACTGAGAAGGGTTCACTCCAGCATTCTTTGAGTCTAGTAACTCAGCACAAAAAAGAGGCACTCAAGATTCATTTCTTGAAATTAGTCCGATCTCAAGTCTTAGAAGCAATGGAGTTGAGAAAAGGCAATGCAGTAGAAACTGGCAGCAAGTACTTGACTTCCAATTTATTTTATTGCTTTACTGTATGCTTGACTTACCGAATATGAGTTGCAACTGAAGGGATCTACAAATACTGTCAAAGAGTATCACTGACTGGTCAGCTACAATAATAAATCCATCACTTAGGCTGCAAGCTTTTATCTTTGGATTTAATGAGGCCTGTGGGAGGGAAAAGCATGACTAAATTAAGACATTTTTATACACGCTTAACAGTACCGATCAACAGTATCATCAGAGTCCCAAGTACCCAAGTTGAAAACTTGACAGGCCCTTTTTTCTTTAACTCATGTGTCTAACTAGTTGAGCTTTTCTTTGTGTGGTGTATCCTGAATCCACTCACAGTCCAAATCAGGGAAACAGCCCAGGACTGCTAGGAAAGGGCAAAGGATTCCCAAACAACAAGTCTTGCTTTCCTACGGGTTGATCTTATGACTATAGGAGCCAACGGGGCATTGACATCAACGAACCAGTACTGGCATAAAGTCTCACCCGAAGCACACGGTTTACATGACAAATCCTGTGCTCTGCCTATTTATTCCTCTGCCAAAGCCCAACACCTGGCAGCCACCGATCTATTTACTGTCTTTTCCTCAGCCAGAACGTCATACAGTATAGCTGGAATCACATCACGTAGTATGTAGCTTTCTCAGATTGGCTTCTTTCACTTAGTAATATACATTTACGGTCCAATTTATCTATTTTTCCATTGCTTGTGCTTTTAACATTGTACCTAAAACGGCTTTGCCTAATCCAAGCTCACAAAGATTTCAATGGATTGTATTTTTCATTTCAAATTCTACTTGTTCATTGCTGGTATAGATAGAGGAGAGCTGTTGAGTTTTGCATATTAACTTGTATCCTGCAACCATGCTATAATCACTTATTATTCCAGTAGTCTCTGTGTTGATTCTTTCATATTTTCGACACGGATAATCAGGGCCATGTGAGAACAAAGACAGTTTCATTTCTTCCTTCTCAATGGTAAGTTCGGTTTGGAAATACAAATCTTAATATAAGTGATGCAGATGGAAATTCCTAATAATTTGAGACTGAATCCTGATTACCTGACAGGGTGCTATATTCATTCACAAAACATTTACTATGTAGCTACAGGGCCTACCAAAAACTCGGTGAGAATTCTGTGAACAAAAACAGCAGCAGAACCATTACCTTTTCGGAGCAGATCTTCGCTAGCAAATCCACTTGATATAAAGCACTTCCGTGCTCTTTTCTTGATCCGACACCTAGGTACCCACTTCCCGTATCATCGCTTGTTAGCAGCTCAATATCATTCCACATGTTTCTGAGATTGTTTTCCTGATTCGGGAACCACTGCCTTCCCTGTGACAACATGCAAAATTAGAGACCCATTTATATTGTTTAACAGAATCCAGTTTCTTGGGAAATGAAAAGGTTGTATCCAAAATATGAATCAATAAATACTTTTCTGTATTCATATCATTTCTGTAGTCACTAGATACTTTAGACCAATAAGACAAATGGAACTAGAGCTATGATTTATCACTAAATAAGCACATATTGGTTTAGGAACACAAACAATTCTGATATTATCAATGTACCCTAGAGTTTCTAGTATTTTGTGTGCCTCACTTGAAATTATAACAAGGTTTCATTTGAAATAAACCTTTAATCAGCATAGCAATAAACAGCAAAAGTTCTGAAGTCAGACTGGGAAATTTTAGGATGACAAGGTTCCAGATGAACTTAAAAAAAAGTCATTAATATTTTCAGTATTGTACAATAAAGGACAATATTAAGGGGGGGAGGAAAATACTGGATTAGGTTTTTGAATGAACCAAAGAGTATACCTGTAATCTTAGAAAAGTCTTTTAACCATCCTATCAACTCATTCTATGTGCGGTCTGCGTGAGAGCAGAATACGAAGATGAAAAATGAGAAACAATCCCTGGATTAAGGCTTTAAGATTGCTGGGGAACAATAACCGAATACTTACAAATGTTTTGATACATGCTAACAGACTATGTTTTAAAATCTATGGTTGGGACAGCGCAGGGAAGGAACAATTTCAGACTATGTGCTCCTTCACATTGACTTGTCCTTTAGCAAGGAACTTAATCTTTGTTTCTCAACTCGCTAACCTATAGAACAGGAATATGGCTGTACCTACCTGACGGGTTGTTCTAGGAGTTTTAAATGTTCACAAAATAATTCTTGATGCATGGCAAGCACTCAGTGTTAAGGGTTAGCGAATTTAGTTTGTATTGGCGGAAGCAGTAATATTTGGGCTAGTAATTTAAGGTCATTGGAGTTTTTTCCCCCCAATTTTTCAGTTACAGTGGACATACAATGCTATATTAGTTCCAGGTGGACAACAGAGATTAGAGGACCTTTTTAAACATCGGGGAAGAGTTCTTACCAAGAGTGTAAGGCTACAGAAAGGAGGCCTGCCAGAACAGACAACAGTTTCAGCGGGTGGGAGGTGGGAGACTGGGACAGGAGGGAGTGAATATCTGAATGAGTCTCAGGGTCCCACATCTGTAAAAACAGGGAAGGCAGGACAGGGCTTTGTCATTGTGAAGTGTCTACTCTTGCAGGAAGGGCAAAAATAGAAACAGTTCACACGGGCTGCGTGAGTGAGTACGCAAGAGAGTTCTGAACGCTTTCCCCGTTACAGCCGAGGTCACCTACAGGTCAGGGTCTCGGCGGCCAAGGCCACCTTTCCCTAAAGCGAGTCAACCACGACGTAGCTAGACACGGAGAAAAGCAGGCCCGCGCCCAGCTAGGAACTGTTACCCTAGGAAGAAACAATGACACACGGTGCCAAGCGTTTCCAGGGAAACAAGGCGGCGCTAAGGGGGTGAGGGAGGGCCGCCGAGGGAGGGTTTGTGCGCGGAGGGGAGGAGCTGAGGAGAGCTGAGCCGAGACCCGAAAGGGCGAGAAGCCACCTTTGCAGAGCTGGGGGGAGGGGACACAGAAGTGCAAAAAAAAAAAAAAAAAAAAAAAA